ATTTTTTAATTTATTGATAGGTTCAATAGACTAAATCAAATTGGTAAACTTGAATTTTTACTTCATTATTAAACTTCAATGGAAGGTATTTTAAAAGTAACTAATAGTAACTATTCACGAGTAATATCCTCTTATAGTACAACTTCCTATAGATTAAATGGTATAACTTTCATTTGCATCCATTTGCAGCTGTAGTTTTTATTTTTACAGCTGGTTCTAGTGTAGAGAAAAAAATCAAAAATTATACATATGAGATTTCTTTAAATGTTTGCGGGATGTAGGCCCTTTAAAGACTCAAAGTATTGAATCCAGGCTATTTATTTTAAATTTATTAAAAAATAAATATAATGGAGAACATTGGGACAGTATGTATGAAAAACTTGTGATGGAAAAAATTCGTAGTTTTGCAGTAATTTTGACAAGGTTATGGGCTAAAAGTGCTAGAAAGTTGAGTAATTTATACAAAAATAATAAACAGTGGCTTGAAACAGTGGCTTGAAACAGAATTTATAATGCCAAATATTCAACCCTCAGTTCCTTCTACTTCATGTTTATCAGTTGGCCGACCACCTAAGGCATTTGATGAATGTACCGAAAGATCGAAAAATAGAAAAATTAAAGGTTTATTAAAATCATATTCGTCCCCAGAAATATTTTATGCTGCTCAGAGTAAATTGAAAAAATCGGGTAAGAGAAACACTGCCATGTTATTAAAAGAATCTTTAATTACACCAACTAGGTCAACAAAAATAAAAAAAGCTTATTTAAGTTCTCTATCGATAGGAATAACACCCTACACAGCAGATGAGGCATTAGCTTTTATTTTAGATAATAATTTGACAAAACAGCAGTACATAAACATAAGGAAATCGGCAAAGTTACGCAATGCCAATATATATCCAAGTTATGAAAAAATTTTAGATTCGAAAAAAAAATGCTACCCAAATAACATAAATATAACTGAAAGGTTTTGCAAAATTCCAATTCAGAATCTTCTTGACCACACATGCACTCGAATATTTCAAATCGAAAATGTACTACCTCTGGAACAGGGTATGTTTGATTTTGAATTAATTTATAAATGGGGATGTGATGGAAGTAACGGGCAATCACGATACAAACAACGGTTTTCAACGTCAACAAATTCAAATGACAGCGACTTATTTATGTTCTCTTTGGTACCATTACAACTCCGATGTTCCACCTATAGTTCGGAAAATAAAAAAAAATGTGGAAAAATCCTCGAACTTCTTCTACAAGATACTGTCGGCCAATAAAGTATGAGTATAAAAAAGAAACTGCGCAGTCTACAGTTCAAGAAGTTGGGGAAGTAAATAATGAAATAGATAATATCGTCCCTATTAAGTTGAAATATAATGATTTGGAAATAGAAGTTCGACACACACTTGTTTTTTCGATGATTGATGGCAAGGTATAAAAAACATGTATAGTTTTATATAGTTTATATTATTAAACAATAATTTAAATAAAAATTTTAAAGTATCTTATATTTTATAGGTTTGTAATTCTATGTCAAATACATCTAGTCAGGTTTGCTATGTATGCAAATGCAGTCCTAAAGGCATGAATAACATAGAAAAATGTAGAAAAAAAGAGAATGCACAAGAAATTTTTTATAATTTTGGACTTTCAACACTTCATGCCTGGATCCGATTTTTTGAATGTTTGTTACACATTGCCTATCGATTAGAGTTTAAACAATGGCAGGTATGTAAAAGTGTGTACAGTTTTTCTTTTAGTTCTAATACCGATAATAATGGATAAGTGTTTTATTTTTCAGGTTAGAACACCTGAACAAAAATTAAGTTTTTCCAAACGAAAAAAAGATATTCAAGATCGTTTTCGAATAGAAACCGGATTACTGGTAGATGTTGTTCTACAGGGTATGTGGTCAAAAGTCGAAATTATTTTAGTAAATTATATTTTATGTGTTTATATTTATAATTTATACATTACAGTATTTTACACTCAATATTTATAAACATAAAAATATTAAATATTAAAATATAATAAAAATTGATAATAATATAATTTTTTTAAATACTTCTTCAGTACATTTGTATTTTTATAAAATAGGTAGTGGAACTACAAATGACGGAAACACTGCACGCCGATTTTTTAAAAATGCAGAAACATCTGATATAACAGGATTAGACTTGGAAATTATAAAAAGATTTGATGTTATATTGAGAGCACTTGCAAGTGGATACGAAATTAATGTGAATGAATTCGAAACTTACGCATATAAAACTGCAGAACTGTTCATTTCGTTATATCCATGGTACTACATGCCAGCGAGCGTGCATAAAATCTTGATTCATGGAGCTGATGTGATAAGCAATTCACTCGTACCTATAGATAATCACTAACCATGAATATTAAATTGTGTATGTATTGAATTCTAATTTATTTTTTATAGGTCAACTGTCAGAAGAGGCCCAAGAGTCTAGAAATAAAGATTTTAAAAGAATTAGAGAGCATAATACTAGAAAAATATCAAGAATATGTCAAAATGAAGACTTGATTCATATGTTACTGATTTCATCCGATCCTTATATTTCAAGCTTACGATCAATTCCAACCCAAAAAATTGTTGAATTTGATGAAGCCGTTCAAAAATTAGTCATTAATGTTAAATCCGATAGTAATTGTAGTACGAGTAGTTGAGACTCGGAATAAGATTATTTTGTTATTCCATGATTATAAATATTCAGAATAAATAATTATTTTATAATTTATTGTAATTAAAAAAATATAATTTCTTTAGTTCTAATACATTGTCAACTTAATTATACTAACTAACATTAACTAACAACATTAGGAAAATATATTGTAAATAAAATAATTTTGTCCGCCTAAAATTGCACTTCAGACCACTGTGCGACACGCGGGGACGTACGTAGGGCGTCAGTATCGTGCGGTCGTCGAAAACATAGTCCGGCTCTTGACAATCCGGTTCACCGAACGGCCGGCCGACGGTTCCTGGCGCGGGTGTCGCGCACCGGCGTCGTCCGTCGTCGATTGGCGGTTTGATTGAGAAGCCACGGCGCGGCTTCCGCGCAAAGGCTGTTTGAATTCAAACAGATTTTGCGCGGGACCGCGTCATAAGTATCCTTTTGTGTTGTACTATAAACAGCTGTGAAGCCTTATAAACTATTTACTGGGTTCGAAAAATTAGATATGATTAAATTAACCGCTTTAGTTTTTTACAGCTGAAATATTGTATGGTCTAAAACGAAAAATTAAAATTAAAAAAAAAAAATAACATCTATTACTATCAGTTACAAGGACAGTTACATATAACTAAAAGAAAATTGTGTTTTTTCATTGTATACTCTCCTCGATGGATTTCTGTGGAAGAAATAAGTTACGATGATAACTTTTGGACTTCTAATATGGAAGATAAATTACAATCGTAAGTACCACAGTTAATTATTAATAGTGATTGTAGTTAAAGAATAAAACATACTTTTGAATATAGATTTTACTGGAATTGCTTACTGCCGGAAATCGTGGATCCAGAATTTAAATATCGACTGTTAATTTCTGACATACGAGATCCAAAAACATCTACCGTTAAAACTCCTAAAGCAAAAAAAAAAATTGTTCTAATAAAATCAACCATTTTTTTAATATTTATTGTAAACTAATTATTTAAATAAAATGTTGTATGTAAATGTAATTTTGTAATTTGTTATAACCTAATATGTTCAAGTACTTTTTATGTAGCAGTGCCGAGGTATTATTTTCGAAATTTATTGCTGAAATAAATGGGCTTTTGAATTTACATACATTTTGTTTTTTAGTAAAAAGTAATATTTTTTTATCCCAAAAGAATGATCAGCAATAACCTATACTAGTTATAGCTTGTTATTAAATTATATTTTACGAAAGGTATTATATTTCAATATGTAATAATGCAATAAATACAAATCAAGCTATGTTAGAATATAGTTTATACGATCTACATATTGGTACATGTATTTGTGTAAGTAGTGCCTTAAATTATAATCGTTAGTTTATGGATACACGTGGACATATAAAATATTACGGCAGAATTTACGTGTATGAATTATATAATGGATAATACCTAACCTAACCTAAGGTCTCAGACCAACGTTCATACAATAATAAACGGCGCTCCCGAACGAAACTCGTCGGCCGGCCGGTGACTGCGAGTAGTGGGCGTGACTTAGTGATGGGCGATCTGAATCGATCTTTTAAAAGATCGATCTATTTCATGTGATTAATCGATCCCCAGGACCCGATCTTTTAAAAGATCGATTCATTTTAGATCGAATCGAATTGTCGATCCGATCTTTTATGTGAAATTAATAAACGATCCTTTTTTGTGAAAATTGAATGGCATCATCGATCCGATCCGATCTTTTATACTATAAACTATAAAGGCACTAAACTACTAAAACTAAACAATTGTCGATTGCTGATTTGAAATTCCAGTGCCACCACAATGTTCCCGGCTCCTATAGCGCGAGTATCGATATTGGTAACATTGTAAACGGCGTCACTTCGAAGTCTCCGAGCTAGCCCCTTTAGGTTAGATTACTTTTAGTGTTTCGTCAAGCGACTCAATCCTCAATCGTCATTACTCATTCGTTTCGTCACTTTCGTGCCTTCGTAGTTCGTGCCTTGTGACCTCGTGGTTTCGTCTGCTTACTGTTGTTTGTTATACGTTAAAGTGTTATTACTTATTACTGTTACTGTTACTAGTGTTACTCTGTTGGCTGTTCCTGTTCGTCTTTGACTTCTTTCATCTTTGAGTCTTTCCGCTTTCGTCTTTCAAGTTTGTCAGTGTCATTTACCATGTCGTCAAGAAAAAGCGTTCTTTGGAATTCTACGATAAATCCACTGACGGTGGCATATTCAAATTATGTAAATGTGCCGTTAAAACCAGTGGCAACACAACAAACTTAAAAAATCATATCAAAAGAAAACATCCATCTGTTAATATCGACAGCATGTCAAAGGTAGCCCGAAATTCTATGTCTTCAAGTATTGATGTAAGCGAAGCAAATGTTGATGAGCCAGCAGAGACCAATTTTGCTGTTTTGGCAAATCAAATTGTCGATACTGTAAGTTTAATTAACTAATAATTACTTAGATAAATCATAACTAAAATATTTAGGTAACTAACTTTTTAATTATAGGCCAACAAATTTCAAACAACACTGCAAAATGTTTCTCGTCCTCAGTCTAGTCAGTCTGGTGACATTGGTTCTGAGTGTTTTGATATTGATTCACTTTTAACCAAATCAACTAATTTAACACCTTCATCTTTAGCATGTAGCAGCTACATTGGACATTGAAGCTCTACCCAGAGTCTGAACAGTTTAAATCTGAAGCAGCCCAAAATTTACGAATCGCTGTCGAATATTCAAGCATATAAGGGTAAGCATTTTAATTAAAAATATAAAAATATTCATAATTGCTTTAACTGTTTTAGAAAGAGGTTCCAAAACCCAAGCAATCACCATTGCATTAATTTACATGATAGCTAAAGACAACATGCCTCTATCAACTACAGAGAAACCTGGTTTTATTTACTTTATGCGTAAAACAGCGCTACTGTACAAAATTCCATCAAGAAAAGTTGTTACAAATTTAGTGAAAAGTAAATATCAAGTGTCTTCTTTAGTTAAGTCTAGATTGTCTAACGTTGAGCATATGACTATAACATCGGATATTTGGACCGATATAATTAATACAACTAGTTTTTTTTGGGTATGACCGTTCATTTTTTAAGTATGGCAAAAGATAGTTTAGATAGTGTGACTATTGGAATTTTAGAACTAGCTGATAGTCACAATGCAAACAACGTTTGCGAATGGTTTGAACAAATTCTTAAAGAATGGGATATTCAGAAGCATCAAGTATTAACTGTTGTTACTGATAGTGGGGCCAACATATTGTCAGCTGTTAAAAAAAAAACATTTGGTAATGATCATCATTTGCCATGTTTTGCACATACATTGAATCTCGTTACTCAAAGACCATTAAATGAACTTCCGGATATTCAGAATATAATTTCTAAAATCAAATCTATAGTTACATTTTTCAAACAATCAGTCTCCGCTAATGATGAACTTAAAATAGTATGTGACTTAAAGCTCAAACAATCAGTACCTACCAGGTGGAACTCCATATATTATATGATCGATAGGTTTTTACTATGTTCCAACCATATTGCGTCAATATTAATAACGATTCGTCGAGGTCCCTCTATGCTATCTGGAGATGAAATAGTTATTGCCAAAGAAATTAATTTAATACTTAAACCTTTTGAAGCTGCAACTAAAGAGTTCTGTGGGGAAACCTACATAAAAAGTAGCAAAGTTATTCCATTAATTCATTGCCTTCTTAAACACTGCGAAAAAATTGCTGTCAATAATCCTACTGTTGTACAATTTGCCTTGTTAGACAATTTACAGCGACGGTTTGGTAGGATGGAGAAAAATCCAAATTCTTTCAATTGCCACATTATTGGACCCTAGATTTAAGTCATTACATTCAAATAAGCCAGTTGCAGTTTCCAAAGCAATCCGCACAATTCGCCTTAACATTTTAGACATAAAAACTAATTCTAGTGGTTCTAATAAAGACTCTAGTGATGATGATACCGAACAGGCTGATAATTTGTGGTCATTTCATAATGAATTGGTGTCAAAAAAGCGTCGGAAAATTCTGAAGAGAACAATGAGCGTATGCCAACAGAACTAAAACATTTTTTAAATCAACCTACAATACCCTTATATGAAGATATTTTTAAATTTTGGAAGGTACATAGAATTATGTATCCTCATATAGCCAAAATAGCTGAGAGTAGTATGATTTGGTATGTTCAGACACCGCACCCCATTATCCCATTATCTCATTATCCTTGCTGAATCCGCATCCGCGCAACCCATTATCCTTGATGATCCGCATCCGCATCCCTCAGCCCTCAGCCCTCACAGTAGTTGACATAGGTTCCTATGAAAAGGAAGGCGATAGTGGAATTTTTCTGAAGTCTGTTATGGGTAAACAAGTATTAAATGGATCGTTTGGTTTTCCCGAAGATTGTGTATTACCTGGGTCTGACATAGTCGTACCCCATGTGATTGTTGGTGATGAGGCTTTCCGATTGCATCACCATATTATGAAGCCATATACAAAACAAGCAAGTAGAAACGATGTAACGAAGAAAACATTCAACTACAGACTCAGTCGTGCAAGACGAGTAACCGAAAACGCTTTCGGTTTCTGAGTCAAATTTTTAGGGTGTTTTATCATCCAATTAATATTGAAACATCAACCTGTGATAATCTGATTTGGGTAGCTTGTTGTCTGCATAATATGCTGAGATGGTTATTTGGAAAAACACAAACGGCCATTCTATGATTATGGTACAGACCAATCGACACCAACGGATAACATGTTATCATTATTGAGAGGAGGAGGATATGCGAATATTGAAGGTTTTGAAGTAAGAGAACTTTTCAAAACATACTTCAATCGTGAAGGATCAGTACCATGGGGATTTTAATAACTACTTTGTATTATAAATTGGATCTGTATTCACGCAACAACTGTTCTTTATGTAATAAGTTTATCTTTAATTGTTATAAATATCTACTTCATATAAAAACAAATGTATAAGATAACAAAATAAAAAATATTTTTTAAATTTTACAATATTTTGTATAAGTTATTATTTAAGTTACATTTAAACATTTTTAATAATATTATAAAAAAAATGTTTTTTCTGGTCAGTAAAATAACTACTTGTTAACTTATTATATTTAAACTATAAAATATTGTAGGTTGTAAAGCCTTGAGAGTTGTCTGATACTAACGATGTACTGGGTGTAGAGGTCTGAATATAATTATCATCAAATACTTGTTGGGGTGAGGTACCGTGTGAATACTTTTCCTCGAGTTCACTCACCAGTGTTAATGCTCTTAGTTTTGCCTCTATTATACCTTGTCGTGGTAATTTTTTTACTGTTATGACTAAACTTTTAAAAAATAAATCAATCTCATCCTCACATTTTTTAGCATTTAAAATTTCTTCATTTTGATTTTGAATTTTTTCAATTAATTTTGTACGTTCTGCAGTTCTTTTTGCCAATATTACCGTCATATTATCTTATTTTGACCTTATACGCTGTCCGGCATAAGAGAATCCTTCGGTCATATTATTTGAAGCTTCTTCTTCTTGTGTAACTCCAATTGATTCTTCGTCCTCTTCACGTAAGCTAATGTCATCATTCATAGTCCCATTTGTTGAAGAACTAAATATTTAAAAATAAAATTACAGTATTATTTGGTTAAAAACGATTATAATACTAATTTTGGAAATATTCAATTTTGCAAACAATAATATGTGATTTGTTATGAACTAATTTAATATTATATCAAGCCATAAACTAATTTGGAAAAAAATTAATTTAACTTTTATTTAGCACCACTGGTATCGAATGTAACAAACAAAATATATAGTTATAATTTGTAAATTATTATGACCGATGATGGTAACTAATGTGTATTACTATGTTTCAATAATATTATATTATTATTATCTTATTACAGTAAACATGCAATTTACATTTTTATCTTGCGTTTCGGTGCCTTCATGTGTCTGTGTTTGTTTTCAAGCGGGAATTAGTGTATATTTAGATATTAATACATTACAATGTCCATAAATATTTATTTTAAAACATATTATTATTTATCATTTATACCCACTGCGTTTTAGTACAGATAAGGAATGACATGCATAATTATTTTATTCTACATAATTTAACTATGATTATTAAATTTATATTTATGATGAATATGTACCTTCGTTCGTACTCTAATCCATCAAGAAATGAAACGTGTGCTGCCAAAGGCCATACTTTTTTTGATGTTCTAGATGAACCTGTGCCCAATTTACGTTTGTTTCGGTTATAAGTATCTCTTATATTTTTCCAACGTTTTTTACATTCATCTGCTATAATAAAACCACCATTATTATTTTATTTTACATTAATATGAATATATGTATAATATTAAATACGATAACATGTTGACCGATAATTGTGGGGTGACAATACAAAACGTACTATTTGCATTTTTGTCAAAATTGAGTTATGCATTGAAATATATGTTTAAAATGGTGTCGGATCGATTGGCATCATCAGATTAGGTAAAAACGTACTATTTCTCATTCAATAACCGATTTTAAAATAGTCAATTGAAGCAAAACGTACTATTTGCACAATATTAATTTTGTCAAAATGAACTATTTACCGTTTGAATCTAAACGTACTATTTTCTATAGATTCCGTAGTAAAAAGTAAAAAAATGTGGTCAAAACGTACTAATTACATCAATTTTTCCAAAAGGTACTATTTCCGTCCATGATGCAAAATGTACTATTTTCTATGTAAATGGTATAGGACGGAAAATGTATTGATGCAAAATGTACTATAATCAAAAACAGCTATGTCTTTAAATTTTTTTTTATTGTTGAAATTTACTAAATTAGTTAGTTTTAATATGTGATTAAGGTTTTTTGTTTAACATATTATCGACTTGCCAACCAAAATAACAAAAAAAAATAATCGTTTATAACCTCAAAACATTAATTATTATGTGCGCCAAAACTTGGTGATAAGGTCGAAACAATGAAATTGAATCATTGATGATTACACATATTTTATTTTTGTTTTACTTAAATTACTCAATACTCTTGCTATTTTCTTAATGTTTTTCCATATTTACACTAAAATTTAATTGTTAACATATTAGTTAGTATCAACCATGTCAAAAAGAATAAACCTGATGATAGACAATGCAAAAAACGAGGTATTTACATACAGCTAGTAAAAAATGAAAAATAACATAATGTCAGAACTTTTAATCTTGAGTATACCACCAAACCTATAATAAAATAATAAATAAGTATTTTATGATTTCTATATCTCATATCTTCAGGTAGTTGATGTTGAGAAGCTGCAGAGCAACAAAATTGTTAATACTGCTAGAAATAAGGTAATATTTGTGCCTCTACAAATTTTGTTTTCTTACCCATTAGTTTATAGATATTTTTTGTATATAGTATCTAGAATATTAATACATAGTTATCTACATTGTTGTTCTAATGACATAATAATAATAATTACAAATTATTATATTATAGTTGCCTGATTCAAATTGTGGACCACTAACATTAAGTTCATTAATAAAAAATAGTTATCAAGTTATTTCTAATGAAAAAACATGCTCACAATGGCTACAGGTATCAGATATCAGTATTAACTTTTTAATAGTTATCAATTTTATTTCATCTTTATAGGTAATATTCACACAAATTAAATAAAAGTTTATAAATATAAGATTTGTTTCAGTTAAAAGTGGTGTCATTATTTGTGTTTATATTATTTAGTTAGATATGGTAAACAATTTAAATACAACAGTGTTTTTATTGGATATAGGTACAACTAATTTATTTTTCTAAAAATACCTATTATTTATATTATTTTTAAATAACCTATTTATGTAAAGTAATATATTATAAATATATTACAAATTAACACTAAGATGAAAGATTACATAATACACTATTAATTTCTGAATATTATATTATGTTGAATTCATTTTTTTTCATTTTTATACCTAATTTTCTTTATCACATGTAAGATTGAATTTTAAATAATACTGATGGATGGCATATATGGCAAAAAATATTTTTTTTATCAATCATAATGTTATTATGTATATAATAAATACTTAATACTTACTAATAAATGAAAACTTAATTATACTTCATAACTTAACGAGATGTATTCTATCATTATACAGCACTTATTCCCTGTTTTATTTTTAATAATAAAATGTTTAGTTGTATAACATTGATTTAACATTTACAACATTTTTAACCGTTCAATATAAAATAACAGAAACCAGAAAACAAAATATACATATCACTATTTTATTTAAGTCACATATTTAATTCAATCATATATTCTTACTCTTTAAATGTCAATGTAACACTGATTATGTCATATTATTAAATGTAGGATAAACCATTTTAATATTTTATTTTCTAAAATCATTTTCAATTTTCAATTTTTCTTTTAGGATATAGCTACGACTTCTCGTAGAACTATGTCAATAATATCTGCTGATTTCGAAAATAATAAGACTGCACTTCCTAACTCAATAATTACATCTGAAAATTTTGAGGACATGGATGTAGTTATTAACACAGGATTAGTTCCTTTGGAACTGTTCAAAGAAAATGATGCACTCAATAGTAGTCCAATTATTATTCAAGTTCCTTCAGATAATGACTTGTTTCAAATTCCTACTGCAGATCAAACACCAGATATGGATTATATTTTACCAGACATGGATAATTATTTATTACCAGCTATGGAGTCGGTTTAAGAAAACTCTATTAATTCAGATCCTGAATACAGAGATCCTATAAAAGAGACTGAGGGAGGAAGGAAAAGAAATATTTCAAATAAACGAAAAGAAAAACAAATTAAGAAGAACAAACTACCAAATAATTATGTATTAAGTTGTGGTCATGTTGAAGTAATTAGTGAAAACTCCAAGTCATATTAAAAATGCTCTATTTCAAATCTAACACATGACGATATTATGACATTTAAAAATAACTTATGTGCCCTTTCATCCAAAGTTGAACAAGATACATTTGTATTGACATTGATGGAAGTAAGAAAAGCCAAGAGAACAAACAATAAAAAAACTACAAGGAATGACCGTGTAGCTACAAAATATTTTATACCAAATGTAAACGGAGACATGATAAATGTATGTGCGCATGCCTTCAGTGATATTACATCTTTAACTAGAAGAAGGCTCAATATAATCTGTAAAAATTTTAATGTTCATCATCAAAGCCCAAAAGAAAAAAGAGGAGGTAAACACTTAAATGCATCAGAAATCGAAGTGACATTGTCAATAGAGGATCATATTAAATCATTTAAGTGTAGAAAAAGTCACCACACCCGCAGAGAAACTGGTAGAAGTTATTTACAGCCAGGATTATCAATTAAATATTTGTGGTCTCATTGGAAAATGAATAGATTGAAAGAAAATTGTTGCATTGCAAGTTTAAGTAAATACCAATTTATTTTTACATCTAAGTTCAACTTGAGTTTTGGCCACCCAAGGCAAGATATTTGTTCTTTTTGTACCGAACAGTTAACAAAGATTCAAATTGAAAAAGATGAAGATATGAAAATTGAACTTCATTTAGAATTAAAAGTACACCAAAGACGAGCAAAACGGTTTTTTGAACTATTGAAGGAAGAATCACCTGATAGTGTTTCTGTATCTTTTGATATGATGCAAACACAGCCTTTGCCTAAATTATCAGTTACTGAGGTATTTTATAGTAGGCAAGTATGGCTGTACAATTTAACTTTTGTCATAGCTGCACCAACTCAAGGCCTAGAAAATTGTTATTTATACACATGGACAGAATGTGAAAGTGGAAGGGGTCCAAATGAAGTGTGTTCGTCACACGTAGATTTTTTAGAAAATTTAGAAAGCCGACTTTGTTAAAGGAATCACCTCCCACAACTCTCAACTTGTTTTCAGACTCTTGTTCTGGCCAAAACAAAAACCAGTTCACCATGATAACATTACTCTATTACATAAACCACAGAACAACTATATTCAAACAAATTAATCATATATTCCCGGTAAGGGGGCATAGCTATATGCCACCAGATCGGGTATTTGGACGTATCGAACAAGTATTGAGAAAAAAGAATCTATTATTTCTCCATCTTAATACTATGAGATTTTTAATAGGTTTTGTACAGTAAAAGTGTATGCTCAGGACTTCTCCATCTATGATTATAAGAGTGTGGTAAAAAATCTGGTAAAAACCAAATTCGATTTTAAATCAACTGAACAGAAAATTTATACATACACCAAGGGAGAAAAAACTGTTGGAGTTTCCAAAAGATATGGAGGAATACCAACAAAAATCGAAGTTGTTAAAAGAAACTCTAATCTTGGTACGTTGTTTAATAATCTTGTACAGCTACCAAAAACTAACCATGTAAAGTTACCTAAGCAAAACGATGTTAAAAACTTACTGAAATACTTTAACATTCCTGAAGACTCTACACAGTTTTATGAAGATATCTTCAAAAATAGTGAAGATGTTGGAAATGAAGACCTAGAAAATGTATATGATGAAGATAATGACTGACTTTACTTGACACTACATTTTATATTTACCTAGTAGGTATTTTATATATAATATTAATTTTTATAAAATATGTTAACTATATTTTACCTTTTTCAAGTGTTCCTTTTATTTTATTCACTTTGTTATTTTTTTTTAATTTTAACATTTTAATTATTTTAATGTAAACTCTATTTTACTTATTCTTGTTATAAAATATGTTAACTATATTTTAACTTTTCAAGTGTTCCTTTTATTTTATTCACTTTGTTATTTTAATTTAATTCAAAGATTTTAAATATTTAAAACATAATACTTTAATGAAAGTCTATTTTACTATTTCCAGTCAGAAAGAGTTACTTAAATATTTTATTAATTTTGTTACTTTTTTAATTTTAACATTTTAAATATTTAAACCTCAATATTTTAATGTAAACTCTATTTCACTTATTCTTGTTATAAAATATGTTAACTAAATTTAAATTTTTTCAAGTGTTCCTTTTACATTTTATTTACCTTGATTTGAATTTTTTATTAAACGTTATTAAAAAGTGTTATATTATGATAAATATTATGCCTAACATATTATATTCCTTTCACCTATATTAATAGATACAACTGATTTCCTATGTATTATATATTTTCTTAATTTAAAGAAATTTAATTGAATATATTAGTGAAGTGTAATGTTACATTTAGTTGGGTCAAAAGTATTTTAATTTCTTAAATTAAAATTATATTAAATTATATTCATTATAAAAATTAAATTATGCAAATAGAACGTTTTGTAAAAATTTTGGTCAAAACGTACCATTTGTGTTAATCAAAGCATAATGTACTATATGGTGCAAATAGTACGTTTTGATCCGATTAAAAATTTCCTAAGCTGTATTTAAGTAAAAAAAATACATTTTAATCTAATTTTAAGGGTAGTAATTAATTTAAAAGATATCTATTTTTTAATATTTTTGCAACATTTATATCTCAATTATTGAATGCACAGCAGAAAATCACCTCTCCTGAAAAATATGTAAAACGCAAAAAGTACGTTTTGCATTGTTGCCCCACAATTATTATTATTATTAATTCAACAATTTTGTATCATGGTGTACCAAAAAAATAACCAATATATTAAATGTGAAAATAATTTAAACTACTTACCAGATTTGCCAATTTTCAAGCCAATTTCTTTCCAAATATCATCTTTTAGAATTATATCTTTGTTCTTTAAATCAGCACTGTCGTATAAAACAGGATTTTTCCGGACTTCCTCTGAAAGTATTTCCTCATGTTCCGGCAAAAACACAATTTTTGACATTATTATATTGTAATACTAAAATATTATTATATGTTCGATATTATAATTATTATTCAATACTACAATAATTATTTTTTTTTTTTTTTATTGATCTTATAAAACAACTCAGCAGCAAAGGCCATTAGTTCACAATTATTAATGACAATTTAGATTTTATACATAATAGATACAATTATATTTTGTTAATCAAATTAGTAAGTTTAAGAAATTTAAGCGTTATTTTGTTCTGGTCAGGATGTGGTCCGAGAGTTGAGTCGAGGGTTTCGGTCATGTTGAGATCCATTCGCTCCTGGTCATAAACATGACATTCAGTCAAGATGTGTTTGACGGTGAGGGGATGGCCGCAGGCTTCACAGAAGGGGGGTTCTTCATTAGACATGAGAAATCCGTGGGTAAGTCTAGTATGTCCTATTCTTAAACGATTTAAGGCTGTTTCTTCTTTTCGATTGAGGTTGGAATTATCCCATCTGAAAGTTGTAGACTTGATCTGGTTTAATTTAGTATTCTGGCTATTCCAGGTTATATGCCATTTTTTCTAACATATGTTTTCAATGTGTTTTTAAAGTCGTCGTAGGTTATGAAGTCTAGTAATGGCGTGTTCGTGTCGGAGATGGCTATTTTGGCAAATGTATCCGCAGTTTCGTTACCTAGGATACCAGTGTGCCCTGGAATCCATGTTAGTATAATTTGTTTTTTTTTTTGTTTAGCTTCGTCAATTTTATTTTGGATTAGGATAGCAATGTCACGGGAGTGGGTTTTATTTTTAACACTGTTTATGGCATTAAGGGAATCACTGACAATTAAAAAATTGGTGTGTGTTGAGGTGTTTATTATTTCTATGGCTTTTAGGATTGCCAGAGCTTCCGCGGAAAATATTGAACAATCATTGGGAAGCTTGAAGGTTAAGTTTTGATTTTCGAGTATGATTGCAATTCCAACCCCATTGCGTGACTTTGAGGCGTCGGTGTAAATTTTTTGAAAGTTCTTGTAGTCGTCAAGGATTCCTTGAAAGTGTCTTTTAAATATCTCGGGGGCTGTGTTCGGTTTGGATAAGGCGCTTAGCTCGGTATTGGTTGGGTAATTGTTTTCCCAAGGTGGGGCTATGTACGATTCACGAGGGATGATTTTGACTGAGGAGAATACGATTTCATTGGTCAGCTTGACAATTTCATTGTTTATGTTACTGTATTTGTCTCCATTGCGACTAGCTAGTCTAGCGATGTTTTTAATGGATAGCTCTATTCTTCTCAGTGTAGGAGGTGGTATGCCGGCTATGTTATAAATGCTAAGTGTAGGGCTGCTCCGGAAGGCTCCTATTGCTAGTCTAGTCCGCTATTATTAACTGTATCTATTAGTTTTAGAGAAGATTTGGCTGCTGTTCTGTATAATATTGACGCGTAGTTGATTTTGGATTGAATGGTTGCGTTGTATATTTTTGTTAGAGATTTGGAATCACCTCCCCACGAAGTGTGTGATAAGATTTTAATTGTTTTTAGTGAGCTGCCTGTGGTTTTTTTTAGGTGTTTTATGTAGGGTGACCAGGTTTGACGTTTGTCAAATATTACTCCTAGCATTTTAACAGTATCTTTGTTGGCAATTGGGGTATCGTTTAGTTTAATAACTAGGTCATTGACTCTTTTTTTTGAACAAGAGGACTTCTCAGGAGAGAAGTTGAATCCGGTTTTGTTTGCCCATTTTTCTAAGTTGTTGGAGGTTATTTGTAGAAAATTTTGAACAGTTTCGACTTTGTTGCTCCTGCACCAGTAGTTGAAGTCGTCGGCGAACAAGTTGCATTTTACTGGAGGGCTGCAGTTTTGGGTGATGTCATTAATTGCAATCAGGAAAAGTGTTACTGAAAGAGCAGAACCTTGTGGAACTCCATTTTCTTGGGTGAATTCCCTGGATAAGTGGTTATTGGCTTTTACTTGGAATTTTCGGTTTGAGGTAAAGTTGGTTATAATGTTGAGCAGTCTACCTTGGCATAAGATTGTGTTTAGTTTAGTAATAATGTTATGCCTCCAAGTTGTGTCATATGCTTTGGCTATATCTAAGTTAATTACGCCCATGATTTGCTTGTTTTCTAATGTTAGTTTGATTTCTTCGTTAATTTCGTGTAGGCTATTCATAGTGCATCTATTTTTCCTAAAACCATTTTGTTTTGGGGAGAAAAAAGATATTTTCTCTAGAAACCATGAGAGTCTGTGATTTATTATTTTTTCAAATAGTTTGCACATGGTATTAAGAAGAGTGATGGGCTATATCCCTCGGTTTTAAATTGGTTTTTTTCGGTTTTGAGTATTGGTATTATGGTCCCTGCTTTCCATTTTTTTGGCCAGTGTCCCTCATTCCATATCCGATTATATATACTTAGGAGAAATTCGAGGGTTTTAATGCTAAAATTTTGAATGAACGAGTAAGGGATGGAGTCGGGTCCAGGACTGTTGCTTTTGCATTTTTTTAGCATAGTCGTTATTTCTTGTAGGTTAATTGGCTTGTTAATGAGGATTTGATCTGCATGGTTTTGATTGGTAGTATTAATTATAACTTCTTTCTCGCATTTATCTTTATGAGCTAGAAAGTTGGGTTTATAGTTATTATCGCTGCTGTTGTTGTAAAAATATTCTCCTAGGTTGTTAGAAATTTGATCGATGTTGTTTAATAATAGATTTGTGTTGGTGTTCATTAGATTAATTTTTCGGAGTCGACGGAGTCCTTTAAGTGATTGGATTTTATTCCAAACTAGTTTGGAGTCGGTTTTTTCATTGATGCTACTAGTGAATTTTTCCCATGTAAACTTTTTGCTTGATTTTATCAAAAACTTTGATTTAGCTCTTAGCTGTTTAAGTTGGATGAAGTCCTTCTGATTATTAGTATTTTGGAATTTTTTAAGTGCATCATTTTTGTCCTTAATTGCTTTTTTAATGTCTAGATTCCACCAAGGGACTTTTGGTTTTGGAGTTTTGGATTTTGATATTCCTATACTTAAATTAGCAGATGAGATTTTTGATTCTGTGAATTCGTCGACAAGTTCTTCAGTGTTTTTGATCTCAGATAAATTTATATTAGTTATTTTGTCTTCGAGCAATTGGGAAAAAAGTGGCCAATCAGGGTTTTTCAAGTTCCATCTCTCGAGTTTGGGGGTAATGTCATTATGACGGGTTACGAGTTGTATGACAATAGGGAAGTGATCACTGCTGGTAATATTGTTTGATACCGACCAGTCAAGTCTTTGAGCGAGTGAGGCATTTGAAAATATCATTTCAATGTTTGAAAGGTTACCGTTAATTGGGTTTATGCGCGTAGGTTCCATACTGTTAAGTAGTACCAAGTTTTCACTTTCAAGGATTTTTTCTATTGCTTTTCCTCTATTGTCTGTATTTTGAGAGCCCCATATGATATTGTGACTGTTAAAGTCGCCTGTTATAATGAAGGGCTTAGGTAGTTGCTTAATTATATTTTCTATGTCTTTTTCCGAAAAAGTATGTTGGTTGGGGAGATATTTGTTGCATAGATTAACTTCTATATCATTATGTTTTACTGATACTGCTATTGCTTCAAGATGAGTTGATATAAAAATTTGTTTGGAGGGGTATAGAGAACTAATGTACTAGTATATTGTTACTCCGCCACTGGCTCTGAGTCCGGAGGTTCTGAATTTATTATATTCATTGAAGTAAGGTAGTTTGGCGGCATTTAAATCTGTAAAATTTGTTTCTTGGAGGCATATTATATCAGGTGAGATATCAGATATTAGAATCATAAGTTCATCTAGCTGTTTATAGAAGCTATTCATGTTCCATTGTAATATTTTCATTAATTTTTTTATTTTATTTTGTTTGTTAACTTAGATGTTGCCACTATCGCTTCGATGTTTGTGTGGCTTCGTAATATTAATTGTTATTTTTATTCAGTTTGGTTGGGCTTAGTGGACAGCTCTTTATCGAGGAGGGAACTACAAAGTCGCGTCAATCTGTTTTTTATGCCTGGAGTTTTAATTGCAGGCTTGATTATTTCTATGACCTCGATCATTTCAAGACAAGTAATGTTAAAATCAACTAAAATTGAAGCTGGGTTGGCTTCGCCGAGAGAGTTTTCAATTATGAACTTAAACTGTTCATAATTAATTTTTTTGTTGGGCATTTTTTCAAACTTGGGTTTGGTGGGTTCGAGAATTTCGTCGAGCTTTAAGACTATTTTTTCTATGGATTGATTTCGTTTTAATTTTTTGGTTGCTGGTTGCGATATTTTGATTGCATTTGGTTTAGAAATAGTTTCTTTTGATACATTATCTTGAGAAGGGGATTTGAAGGTAGGCAAATCGTTTGTTAGGTTTGATGAAGTTGAAGAGAGTGCTGGTCTTTTTTTAGTATCATTTGTATTTGGAGTCAGTAATGTGATGTCATTTGATGTTGTATCCATCGAGAAAGGGTCATCTAGGAGACATTTGAGTTGAGGTTTGTGAGATGCTGTTTGTAGAAGTGTCAACATTTGTATCTGCGGATGTATTGAATCCGTTTTCATTTATATTTGTATTTACGGCTTCTGTTGGTGGGTTTTTGCATTGTTTTGTTGTGTGACCTTTGCGTTTGCATAGGAAACAGTGGATCGAGTCGTCGTCCAAGAATATTCTGTGAGATGTATTTTCGAGATTGATCAGGATGGATTTTGGTAGTTTTTCGAAATCATCGGGTTTGATGTAAACTTGGCGTCTGAAGCTTATGATATGAGCTAGTTCTGGGATGTTGAATCCCGCATTAATATGTGTAATTGGTGATAATATTTGGATTTTATGATATTCTAGGTGTGATATAATGTATTCGTTTGGTATATCAGGTGAGGCATGAGATATGATTATTCTTTTAGCCGGATTTATTAACCATCTAATTTTAATCGTCGTATGTGAGTTTATTATGATGTAGCGATGGTTATCTACAAGAAAATCGACCGTGTTTTTGTCATTGAGGTATATACAGAATCGGTTGTTGGTTATCCGAGAAGCAAATTTTATGTTTTTTGGTGGAGTTAATTTGCTAATTGCAATTATGTAATGAATCTGGGGTATGTTGTCAATTGAATCGAAGACTATTGCGTGTTCTTTTTTGGGTAGTGTAGAGTTGATAGTGGTTTCGGCGAAAGATTTTTTTCCAAAAGTGTGTTTTTCTGGTTCATTAATGTTGTTTTCATGAGATGAGGAATTGATATTATGAACGCTCTGTATACCATATGGTTGGTCTTGTTGGTGTAATCGTGATAAGAAATAATTTCATCGGTGGATTTAATTGCGTCGCTGTTGTAGTCGTTATCGGAGTGTTGAGATGAAAGAGGCTCATTAGTCGCGTTATCTGCTATGTCACCGGAGGGCCCGGATTTAGCTATTACATTTTGTTTGTTATTTGAAACTTTGGATGAGGCAATAAGTTTTTCATTAAGCTTATTAGTTTTGGTATTTGGTTCACCCATTTTTTGGGTGTTTTATTAATTTATAGTGTTAAAATGTGAATTGGGATCCACGGTTAAATAATTATTCATATTACCAGTACACACGTAGGACTTCAGTACGCTTACGAGAGCTATAAATGCGAGAGCGCGATAACGATAAGCGTGTTGCTCGGTTGGGTGTGCACACGTAACTGAATAATTATTATAATTCAATACTAGAATATTTGTTAAATTATGGCAGTATATAATATATAATAAATATATATTACTATCAGCGACTGCAAAAGTCTTAACACTATTTTTGACCAGAGTCGCCGGCGGCTGTCGCGATACACTGCTCTCGTCGCGGTAGAGCCGCCGGCCGCAGCCGTGCATTAGGCACCAGTCTATAGGCACTACGTGTAAACACTGTTCATACAAAAGCCGCGGCTAGCCACTTTGGGTTTGACGTTCTCTTAAAGATCTTATATTTTTTTGTATTTAGCCATTTTACACATAGTTTAAGAAGGATTTTTGTTGTGATATCACTAAGTTTTATCGTTATTAAATATTGAGTACTTACATAATAATCTATAAGAACAGTAATATTGTTGGTAACATCGGCAACGCTGATGCGATGAAGACGACGACGGCTACCGTGATTCTGAATTTAATATAAATTGTCGAACTTTTTAACCCTTTATGTGTTAGTGGTTGTTCTAGAAGCCACTTATGTTTGTACGGTAGATGGGCAGCATAATATTAATGAATCACAAATTAATGCAACTGTGGCATTTATAGAAGCCACTTGTAAAATGACGGTACATGGGCAGAACTATTTTTATCTAAATATGTTTATTTTAGTGGTTGATTAATATTCTTCTATTTAATTATAACATTTTTGTTTCAATAACTATTGTTGTAATATCAATACCTAGGTCTATAGATGGTGGCTGAAATAAATGCCACTAAACTATAAGGGGTCATGATTTTCCTCTGACTTAGAATAATTCTGAAAATAAATACTATATTCATACTTTTATGCTATTAGACATTTAAATTTTTTGAATAATAAAAAAAGATTAATTGAGACTTTATTTATTTAAAAATGCTTGACTTGACATTAAAATGAATACAATAGATGTGAATAATAATAAAAAATAATAACAAATTAATAAAAACAACTTCATAGACATAAGTATAACAACAGTATAAGATTGTACCTATAGTAATAAATTAAAATATAGGTAATAAAAAATGCTTTCCTTAGCATATATAACAAATTAAATAGTATGTAGAATTATAAAATAATACAGGTATCACAGCCCAATTATTTTTTCAAGTCTCTTAGTTAACAATTTGTTATAAGTTATATCAATGTACATATTAATTTTTAAACATAATATATAATTAGATAAAATAACATGTTACCTAACTCACTTATAGTTATCTAATATTGAATAATAATAACAAATAATAACAAATTAACAAAAACAACTTTGAAAAAGACTATAAACTTCATAGTCATAAGTATAACAACAGTATAAGATTGTACCTATAATAATAAATTAAAATATAGGTAATAAAAAATGCTTTCCTTAGCATACATAACAAATTAAATAGTATGTAGAATTATAAAATAATACTGGTATCACAGCCCAATTATTTTTCAAGTCTCTTAGTTAACAATTTGTTATAAGTTATATCAATGTACATATTAATTTTTAAACATAATAATATAGGTATAATTAGATAAAATAACATGTTACCTAACACACTTATAGTTATCTAATATTGACACAATATCACTTTTTATAAAACTCAAGGTATATCACAATACATTTATTTTCATTTAACCTTATAAATACTATTTTAGTGTTTTTTTTTTTATGGAGAATGGAAAGGCAAAAAACACTCTAAACAAAGAGCAACTTTACATTCTTTGCAGGTTATTTTAGACCTTTTAACATTTTTTTTTGTGCTACAAAGTCTACAACGGTTATATTTACCAACAATAGGCAAATGATTACCTACATTTTGTAATCGGCTATTATTTCCCGGTAATATAATACGACCATCTCCTGTTTCTTTTGGTTTTCTTTTTGTGGAAGGAATATTTTTGTTAGGTCCAACAGTTTTCCTACTACAAAATTCACCGATTAACTCATTAGCCAACGTAGAACGAAACAATAACTGATTCAAAGGTCTTATTTTATTTGAATTTAATTTAACACTTGTAGTATACATAATATAAGCATTCACAATTGTTGCATCACAAAAATGATAAAAAAGTTTAACCCACCATCTTCTTGATTTCCAAGCTATATTATAACACTCTTTAAGTTGGTCAAAATGGTCGACTCCCCCCATGTATTTATTGTAATCAGCTATACTTAGTGGGCATTGAACATCTTCTCTTACACCTAAATTATTTTTTCTTTTAACTATAGATGTAGTCTCACCTTTATGAATAGTAGATACAGTCACTACGGGTTTCTTTCCTCTATCCATCCATTTAAAAACAGATACCTCTCCTGATGTAGCATAATCATATTCACCCATTTTTAAAGTTTTATCTGATTTTAGTATACTTTTAGGAAAATATTTCCTGTTTTGCATCATAGTACCACAAGCAAATATTTTTCTACTTAATAATTTTGAAACAAGATCAATGCTAGAGAAACCTATCAAAAAATACACAATACCCCTTTTCTTGATAATTACTTGTCATTTCAAGCACAGTTTTCTCACCTAAGGATCCTTGTTCTTTAGATTCTTTTTTCCCTTCATATACCATAAAACTAAGTAAATAACCAGTAATAGAACAACATAATGCCCATATCTTAAACCCTCTCTTAACAGGTTTCATGGGCATGTACTGTTTAATTCCTGATCGCCCTTTAAAAGCGACCATACTTTCATCACAACTTAAGTGTTTATCTGGGGAAAAACTTTTACTAAAAGCATCATTTAAGTAGTTAATCATTGGACGAATTTTGTAAAGTTTGTCATAAGAAGCACTACCCTTTTGAGGCATAACACTATTATTGTTCAAATGTAAATAACGCAATATGTTTAAAAACCGTTTTTGAGTCATGATATTTGCTATGCGAGGGTTATAAAAATTTTCATCAGCACTCCAATATAGGCGAATACTTGGCAATTTATTAAAACCCATAATAATAAGTATGCCTAAAAAAGCTTTCAATTCAGCAATATTTAAATTTAAATTTTTACCGCATTGGTTTGAGTATATATTTGATTGATCAACAATGTGTTGATAAAAATCAGAAAAAAAAATTTCAAAATTTTGTAAAGGTGATTTTGTGTCAACAAATACATTTGGTCCATATGGTTCATTAAAAGTAAATGTGTTATAAGTTAATTCAGTAAATGGTGGCTCTTTTGAAAATTGAAAATTATTATTTTCAAAAACAACACTATCTTCACTATCAGAATTTTCAATAAAATCTACAAGCAAGTCAATATTTTCTGTATTATTTGGTTCTGAAATATTTAATATATCATTGAGTACTTCATCATTATTTTCTGTTAAACTATTGTCAAACTCATCTTTGTTTAAAATAGGTTCATATGTAGGGTCAACATCACTATCATCATATTCCAAATCTGAATCTTGTGAAGACATTTCACTATTTGCTGAAGACTTTGGACGTTTAGGTTTAAGCTTTGATGAAGTAACTGAATGTAGAGGAGATGGGGTAGAACATGAAGACTGACCGTGTAAATTTGTATTCCTTATTTTTTTTTTGTATGTTCTACCTGTTGAAGATCTGTCGAAACATGGTGCATCTTCACCATCGCTGTCTCCCTCAAATTCAGAGTCAATGGCCTGTCTGTCAGAAATTCCATTTAACAATTCCATAATGTTGTCATTTGATAATTTCGACATGTTTTGTTCAGAAACTGTAATAAAAATTAAGTTTATAACAATAAGTATAGTTCACAATTACTATGTTATAGATAAAATAGTATATTTAATGTATAATTTTAATTGAATTGTTCGCAAATATTATCTTAGCGCTTATAAAAGCAATGACAAATGTTATATTTTTAAAAACTGCAGAACATACCGATTATATATATGTATTATTCGTTACATATATTTAATTTAAAAATATAAAAATTAGCACATGAAAAAAATTATTTCTGAAAAAAAAAACAAAAATAACACGTATATTTTGTGTAGAACTCGTGTAAAAACAATACAATTGCTTAAAAGAAGTAGTAAAAATACGTCAAATTATACAAGGATTTAAATTATGTACTTACTTGCTTGATGTCACAGCTTGTTTATGAACAATTTAAAAAAAAAACACGAAAAATTTGAATTAATCAAATGTATTGGTAATTTTATCGAATAGTGGCTTGTATACATGCCACTTATGATAAAAATATGTTTTTATAATGCTATCACTTCACTTTACAAACTAGTATTATGTCAACACATGTTACCATGGTTGTTTAATCGATATTGATAATAATAATCATATTTAATATCTTTTAACCACATTTTATTCACTGATAACAAAGTGGCTACTATATATGCCACAGATATGTAAAATCTATTTTAGTATAAAAAATCGTGCGCATACAAGTAGAATTAAAGTGGCTTCTATGTATGCCACAGTTGGTCTCAATCGTTGAATTTAAAATGAAGTCTGCGCGTTAAAGGGTTAATTTATAACTTAATTTTTAAAAGTGCGATTTTGATGATTTTTACTAAAGCACGTTCTACACAATATTTCTGATGTTTTGGAGTTTACTAGGAGTTCATTGATGCATTAGAAAATTAGTTACGCCGTATAACAAATTTACCTGTATTTTACACAGTTTAAATAGGCAACTCCTGCTTCGATATACTATACACGGAATGGGACAATTGGGCGCCGCCGACTGGGCGCGGCTGACTGGCCGCGGCTAATTGGGCGCGAGTCAAGTGGACGCCAGGACAGCTGGGCGCTAAATAATTAATACTGCACATTATTACTATTAATATTATTATTATTATTATTATTATT